TATTTTCTTTTGTGTTATTTAATAAAACTATGATTACCTCAGAAAGCGCTTGGATCTTTTGGTGCAACATTTTAACCATTTTTATTAATGGCAATGGACTAGACTAAAATTCATTGTTTTCATAATTTACAATAAATTCAATAGAATCCTTCAACTTGATTTAGAATTTTCAATGTTTTGATTAGAGGATGTTCAGGAAGCCTTTCCAATTTCAATTTCACAATGATCTACAAAAACATTTCTTTATGAGTGAGAGGCATATTTTACAGAGCATTTGTTCAGAATAAACCATTTAATTGGATTGATTGAATTGGATTTATGTGAGTTTCGCTTTCTTCTGTTTGATAATCAGGATCAGAATAATTATTTAAAATATTTTTTTTAAACTATAATTAGTTGGCAAATTTAAATTAAATTTATCATACGACAGGTATTATGTAAAGACCCTCGGGAACCGTAGTGTTAATGCTACCCGAAATATAAGGAACATATTTTTGTATATAAAGGAGGACTTGAGATTTTTAGGAAGGACTTCAATTGACCATTGCTATGACAGGAACATCTGGCTGAGCAATAGCGGTAACGAGATTTCCATTTCATTACAGTCAGCGATAGGATTGGTTCTTCAACGTAGAGTGTTCATGGCACAATGATCCATATCTTTTTTTAATATCTTGTATTTACTTGATAGATTATATACATCCTAAAGAAACATCAAATATCCAGTAAATGTGTGTTTTTATTAATTAATAATTGGTTTTAGACAGACGGCTCGATTAATTAATTAGGAAAAACTTTCTTTATCATTTGACGAATACCCAAATGAGAATCTTGCTGTGTAAATTATTATAATTAGTTCGCTGTTATATATGTGTATATATATATCTAATGCGGGAACCATTCGTGTGTTTTTAGAATTAACATTATATCAATTATTGTAAAATTATTCAGGATCTTTCGTCTAATTCGTTATTGTTATGTAACAAGAATTACAGACAGTCTAATGTTTTTTAGTTCCAAAAATAAAAATATCAATTGTTCACGTTGATCAAATATAGTAAGTAATAGTCGCACAAGCAATTG